TTACCGATGCTCTCTGATTAATGCACCAAAGACAGCAACTCAAGCACTCCTTGCATTGTTGAGACAGGAAACAGCCATTGCAAACGTCTTCGAATAATTTGGGAGCTCCTCACCAAACTCGCCACGGATTGCACCAGCACGAGCCGTCGTTGCACGATTCAAGTACCTTGGTTAGTGGACTGCATGTTCTTCTCAGTGACTCTGAAGGCAACACTCAAAAGGCCAGCAAGACATTCCGCACGGCTTCAGATAGGTGGCACACTCCTCATATCCGGCTGCTTGCCGATGGCATTCATCACCCGCAACAAGTAGCGGTGGGTGCCACACAACACTGTCGGCTGCCTCAAATGGAAACATTGTCTCCCCACAAGGGTCCAGGTCTGCAGATAAATATTTCCTGAAGAAACAAACCTCCCATGTGAAAGCCAAGCAACACCACATTGTGCCCGAAGGCACCCATTGCCAAGAACGTCTTTTCGCAACCAGTGGCATCCACCGTGGCCTCAGAAGCAAAACTGAACCCAATTTGAAGAATCTGCTGCGGCGCTTGACAAGTCTACTGCTTCGAGACAAGACACCAGCATCGACGGAGAATAAAAAATGCAGCTGCTTCGAGGCTGCTCCGTGACAGTATAAATGCCACAGTTGAAGCACAGCTGCATCAGATTGGCCTCCCATTCCTCAGGCCGTATCTGCAAAGTGAGTCAAAACCATGTGCATGCCAACTTATTCAGTCAAGCTTCGCAGGAGACATCACTTTGGCGAGGCTCCAGAAACCTTCGCCTCGGAGAAGAGACACAGACTTCTACATCCAAGCACCAAGACTTATGAGGTGACATGTGAAATGCAAAGCCGAGACTCCCAGCTTCAGCTGGCACCCGCTTTGGCGATCCCCAGCGAAGCCCTCCTCTGCGAAGTCGCAGCACATAGCCCACACCTCGGATATGCAAAAAAATGACTATGTGCGGCTGAGTGTCTTCTTCTACGGGGAGCCAAGACAAACCAAAAACTGATGAAGACAAGCTGCAGATAACTTTGTCCTGGTAGGTCGCGAAGGTGCTGCAGAGGCTCATCGTCCGGATGTTCAACTCGGACAAGCAGGTATATTGCTTGCTGGAAAACATGATGCAACTGAAACTCGAAGAGACACAGAAGAAGCCAGAGCCAACTGCAGATAAGAAGCATTGTTGCATTCATCGACCACACGATCCTTGCCCAAGCCGTCATAGGTCAGCACGAAATCCAGGTTCCTTCGCGGGTGGTCCCAATTCATATAATCATCATCCAAACACCACCCATGCTCTTCCCGGATGAGCAAATGCATCCACACCGGAAGCCCACGGCAAATGGGGGAGCTTTCCATGGCTCCTACCTTCAAACCTGCAGCCGGATGCCTACGAGACCAGAAGTTTCCAAGACCAAAGCTGCAAACTCATTTCTGAGGTCTAGTACTATCTCGTAGAATACAGAGAGTTTAGCCAGCAGGCAAGAGTGAGCAAGCAGGCAAGTCGAGCCAGCATGCAGAGCGAAAGCTTTGATTAAATTACTTTACTACCAGTGAAATACCACAAATACAGCCTGTGGAGCCGAGTAGTGCCGAGTAGGGCCGAGTGGTGCCGGGAAGGGGTCGGGCAGACATTGGGGTGCCTTTAAATTACTCTACTACCACTGAAATACCACCAAAATACAGCCTGTGGAGCCGAGTAGTGCCGAGTAGGGCCGAGTAGGGCCGAGTGGTGCCGGGAAGGGGTCGGGCAGACATTGGGGTGCCTTTAAATTACTCTACTACCACTGAAATACAACCAAAATACAAAACAGCCTGCGGAGCCGAGTAGTGCGAGTGGGGCCGAGTAGGGCCGAGTGGTGCCGGGAAGGGGTCGGGCAGACATTGGGGTGCCTTTAAATTACTCTACTACCACTGAAATACCACCAAAATACAGCCTGTGGAGCCGAGTAGTGCCGAGTAGGGCCGAGTAGGGCCGAGTGGTGCCGGGAAGGGGTCGGGCAGACATTGGGGTGCCTTTAAATTACTCTACTACCACTGAAATACCACCAAAATACAGCCTGTGGAGCCGAGTAGTGCCGAGTAGGGCCGAGTAGGGCCGAGTGGTGCCGGGAAGGGGTCGGGCAGACATTGGGGTGCTTTTAAATTACTCTACTACCACTGAAATACCACCAAAATACAGCCTGTGGAGCCGAGTAGTGCCGAGTAGGGCCGCGTAGGGCCGAGTGGTGCCGGGAAGGGGTCGCGCAGACATTGGGGTGCCTTTAAATTACTCTACTACCACTGAAATACCACCAAAATACAGCCTGTGGAGCCGAGTAGTGCCGAGTAGGGCCGAGTAGGGCCGAGTGGTGCCGGGAAGAGGTCGGGCAGACATTCGGGTGCCTTTAAAATACTCTACTACCACGGAAATACCACCAAAATACAGCCTGTGGAGCCGAGTAGGGCCGAGTAGGGCCGAGTGGTGCCGGGAAGGGGTCGCGCAGACATTTGGGTGCCTTTAAATTACTCTACTACCACTGAAATACCACCAAAATACAGCCTGTGGAGCCGAGTAGTGCCGAGTAGGGCCGAGTAGGGCCGAGTGGTGCCGGGAAGGGGTCGGGCAGACATTGGGGTGCCTTTAAATTACTCTACTACCACTGAAATACCACCAAAATAGAGCCTGTGGAGCCGAGTAGTGCCGCGTGGTGCCGGGCAGTGCCAGGGGGTGGGGCAGACATTGGGGTGCCTTTAAATTACTCTACTACCACTGAAATACCACCAAAATACAGCCTGTGGAGCCGAGTAGTGCCGCGTGGTGAAATACCGAGGACGGCCTGTGGTGCCGAGGAGTGCCGAGTAGGGCCGCGTAGGGCCGAGTGGTGCCGGGAAGGGGTCGGGCAGACTTTAAATTACTCTAGTACCACTGAAATACCACCAAAATGCAAAGGGTGGAGCAACCGCGGCCAGCCTGTGGTGCCGAGAAGTGCCGGGAAAGGGTGGGGCAGACATTGGGGTGCCTTTAAATTACTTCACAAACTGGTGCCGAGGAGTGCCGCGTGGTGCCGAGTGGTGCCGGGTAGTGCCGGGAGGGGGTGGGGCAGACATTGGGGTGCCTTTAAATTACTCTGCTACCACTGAAATACCACCAAAATACAGCCTGTGGACCCGAGTAGTGCCGCGTGGTGCCGAGTGGTGCCGGGTAGTGCCGGGAGGGGGTGGGGCAGACGTTGGGGTGCCTTTAAATTATTCTACTACCACTGAAATACAACCAAAGTACAGCCTGTGGAGCCGAGTAGTGCCGCGTGGTGCCGGGTAGTGCCGCGAGGGGGTGGGGAAGCGGTGGAGCAAACATTGCGAGGAGGATTCGGCAGACGGCAACCGCCTGTGGTGCCAAGAGTGCCGAATAGTGCCGAGTGGTGCCGGGAAGTTTTTGGTCTGGATCCCGCTGTGCAGTGGTAAATCCAGGCTTACGGGGGGTAGCAAGCTTGTACGGTGCTGGTCATAGGAGGACGGCCTAGATTCCCGAGCTCGGGAAGCTTTTGGTCTGGATCCCGCTCTGCAGTGGTAAATCCAGGCTTACGGGGGGTAGCAAGCTTGTACGGTGCTGGTCATAGGAGGACGGCCTAGATTCCCGAGTAAGAGCGAGTGGGCGAGATGCTGCAAGAATCAAAGAGCTTCTGGGCGCCGCCCCGGCAGGGGTCGGCGGATATACATATATAGCCCGTTATAGGGTGGGGGTGGGGCTGCTGCCGTCCATGCGGCCGCGGCCGCAATTCCCCAGTTTCTCGTACAGTACGGCGATCAAGACTGACACAGGGGCCTTCATAAGGACCCATGTTTTTTTTTTTTTTGGGGGGGGGGATGGGGAGGGTTCTTAGTATAATTATAGCATAATGCGTCCCAAAACCCTATTCTAATTGTTACGGCCCCTATATTACGGCTGATCGCTCCAGGGTCCACCTGTGCAGGAGCAAAGACTGCATCCATCTTCGAAGAAGTTGGAAAGCAGTCTACTCTTAGCAGCTATAGCCCTGGACCCTAAGCATCTTGTATTGGCCGGATAACTCCGCATGTACGTCTGATATTAGTGGAAGTTGCTGGCGTAACGGTGTTTCTTGCAAAGAGTTTGAGCAAGCACTTGAGCCCTACAGGGAACTCCAGAAAGTTGGAATATGGTTTCATGGTAGGATACCCTATAATTTACCATAGAAGGGTTAGGATAATCATATTCCAACTTTCTGGCTTTTACCTTAAACCAGGAACGCTAGACCCTAAACCCGAAACCCCAGTTAAACCGAAACCGGGGCCCGAAAACCTCTAGACCGCGAAGCTCGAAGCGCTAAGCAAACCTTGAAAGTCTCTAATGTAGGGGCTTTTGTAAGTTAGAATAGGGTTTTTAGAACAATGTACCCCCCCAAACCCTGTTCAAATTATTAAGGCCCCTGCATCACCATGAATCGTAAACGCCCAAACCCAAACCCCCGCATGTGGTTTAAGTATGTTTAAGTCTAAGCCCCATGCTCCAACACCCAAAGTCGCAAGACCAAAGTGACGGGCTCCCGGGTTCAAGGTTTCCCTGAGAGGGTTAGGGTATTAGGGCTTAGGTCTGAGGAGATTTATGCTTGAAGACTTGAGGTTTAGGATTTGAGGGTTCAGGGCTTAGGCTTTAGGATTTCTATTTTGGGTTTCTGGGGGGGTTCTTGTAGTCAAAATCATCTTCGGCTGCCTCCTTGCGTGCACTGCGGCTACCAGTCGACATTCCTACATCCCTGCTGTAAGCCTTGCGTCCTAAGCTCGAGAGCCGAAGCAATAACCCCAAGCCCCAAACTGTAGAGCCGAAGCCACACATCCGGGGAATCCTCCTTTACTAACCCCACACCCTAAACCCTAAACCCTAAACCCCTAAACCCTAAACCCAGAGCTTTTGCAACCTCTCAAGCCTTTGTGGAATCCCACAAACTATATTTAAATAACGTCCTTCTGTTTATGTGGTTTCCTGGGCCGCGGGCAGGCGAGCTGGCGACCCTCCATTCAAAGCTGGTGCGCCCGTCCAGAGTTTCGAGGTTAAGCCCGGGGTTAGGGGTTTAGTCTTTGACTTACTTACACTTTAGGGGCGTAGTGGCATAGTCATGTCCAGGGTTCGGTTGAGGTTTCGAGTCTTAGGTGTAGGTGTCTGACAATGCCGGGCTAAAGGCGCAGCAAGTGGAAGAAGGACGGCGAGAAGCTCCTTTAAAGAACAGGTCCAGCTCAAGAAGAAAGCCCTGAAAGGCCACGACGTTGTTTCGGAAGAATCAAGTAAGAAAACAGAAGAGAGCGCCTCGGGCCTGTGTTTGGAAGAATAATTAACACCTTTTACAGGCTTTAGGGTTTAGGGTTAGGGTTTCTCGGAAAAGGGTAAAGCCTACACCCGAAACCAGCAAAAAGACAATCGAGAGAACTTTGGCGGTTCATGAGTAGTTATAGCAGTTCTTGAAAACTTCGGGCTTCGACGCCAAGTGGCCCCAAATTCAGGGTCTAGGGTTCAGGGTTAGGGTTTAGGGCTTTAGGGTTTAGGGCTTCAGGGTTTAGGGTTAGGGTTTAGGGCTTTAGGGTCTAGGGTTTAGGGCTTTAGGGTTTAGGATTAGGGTTTAGGGCTTTAGGGTTTAGGGCTTTAGGGTTTAGGGTTTAGGGTTAGGGTTTAGGTAGTTACCGCGTCGGTGGGTGCTTGACTTTGGGAACACCTGCAACATGTGCAAAGAGGCCAATAGTTCGGGACCATTGGTCGAAGCGCTTAGAACCTATCCTGGACCCTAAACCCTTGGTTGGTCATCTTAACAGACACGAGTATGAATGATAATAATATGCAGAAAAACAAAATAGCAACCCTAAGCCCTAAACCCTGAACCCTCAACCCTAATCCCTAAACCCTAAACCCTAAACCCTAAACCCTAAACCCCCCCAAAAAAAATCCTAAACCCTAAATCCTAAACCCTACGGCCGAGCCTTCCAAGTTTGGGTCCTTGTACGTACAGTTAAACATGGGAGGTTGTCAAAATCATGGTCCCCTTTGGGGCACCTTAAATATAAGGTGCCGTACTATAATATGGACCCAAAAAGAAGCCTTAATTTTGTCCTTATTTTGATACGGCACCGATTATTTAGGGTACCCAAAAAGGGACCTTAATTTTGACAACCACTTGACAACCACCCACATGAGGGTCATAGCGAGCAAGCCTGGCTTATGTTCATGACGCGGAGAGTCTTGTCCCAAAACGTCGCATCGTTCGGGCTTCTGGTTTGAGCATGTAGCCGCTGGGTTTAGAGTCTTTTGCGGTTTGGGGCTTGTCTAACCATTGATATTGGGGGAGCTAAGGAGCCAGGGATGATGATAACCCCTATTACATAAGGAGGTAAAGAGCCAAGGGAACTCCAAAACCACTGGCTAGTTATGTTTGTTGTTGTTTCAGGATCGGTTTCAGGGTTGGGGGACTGGAGGTTATGGCAGCAGAATCGGGGCTTCGGTGACCGTAAACCCTAAACTTAATAGTAGTGCGGTTCAGGTTTAGGGTGTGGTAGATACGGAGCCCTGAAATGGCCCATAATCTTCGGTTTCTAACCTATAGTCTCCTTCGAATTATTTTTTGTTCATATAAAACCCAACAGAATATAAAACCTATTATCTTATTGTGGTTCTAAGGGTTATAGTAACCCATTACAGTACTCCTGATACTCATTCCTAGGCCCTGTTGTTAAACCTCTATAACATCGCCAACACGCCAGCACTTTGTCCGTAGGTTAGCCCTTAACCCCAAATCCGAAACACAAAAGAAACCTTGAGCGCTCAAGCCCTCATGCCTTGAAAATGCAAGCCTTAAAGTTTAACGGCTTCTGGGGCTTGGGGTTTAGGGCAGGGTGTTGGGGTTTTGTGGCTTTGAAGCTTTTAGGGTTCGGGCTAAGGGATCGGGATGTCAGGGTGTGAGCTTCAGGGTTCACGGTCCAAGATTTCATGCCATAGAGCTCGGGCCTAACACCTAGGGCTAGGCATCGCGGGCTAAAACCAGAAGTGCACAGATCAGGGATCAGCTTTGAAGTCGTAGGATTCACCGCCCAATAACATAGGGTCATCGGGGTTTCTGGTTTAGGGTTTCGGTTGTTCCTCAAAGCTCTAGGGGTTACAGTCTCCAACTCTCCAACATTCGCGTCTCGGCAACGGATGTGGACTGCTATCGACACGTGCGGCGAGATGGGGCAAACTGCGATGACTGCAGGCGCCCCTTCGGCAAGGGCGGCGCCCATCCCCCCGAGCCTGGGCATCGGTGGTGGAGACGGCGCCAAGGCAGCCGGCTTCTTCATCGAGGTCCGCCAGCGTTTTGGCTGCTGCGGCATAGCTGGACAGTTCTCTCCCAGCAGTCGGTGGTGGTTGGCAGAGTCTAATTGCGCCCAAATCTGTTCATGCGCATGTTTACTGCTACTGCTGCTTGGAACTCGAGCGAGAGACGTTCCTCACTCATCGCTCTTTCAGATGAACTGTCGCTGTTGTTCCTAAAAGCTGCGTCAGGGATTCCGGGGATTCTTGGTGATCCTTTCACTCTCTGAAGCCTCAACCATGCGCCAACAAAAACCTCGAGATCCCAGAAACCTTTGAAAGCCCCCAAAACCCCATGCCCTACTTGGAGGCTCATGGGACTTAGTAAGTAAGGTTATAAGTAGGTTATACTTAGGATAACCCCACATAGGGGACTTATAACCCCACTTATAACCTACTTACTAAGTCCCATGATCCTCCAAGTAAAACTTCAACCATCAAAAAGAGCGAGCCCACAGCAACCTGAAACCCAAAAGCCCTTATAGGACCATACGCGAACCCTGAGTGGAATCCCTCAACTTAGTTCTCTTCTGCCTAAATTTTAAACGTTTGGGCTCCTAGAGTTTAGTAGTAATCTGAAAGTTCTGTGACTTACTGGGGAAGTAGCTTAGGGGTAGATGGAAATATGCTTCAATGTTGAGTTGCTATAATGCCTAAGGAGCAGCTGAAATTACAATTTTTGCTAGGGGTCTAAGTTCTGTATAGTTGATGTATGGTTTCCCTCAGCTTAGATAGCCATTGTTCCATGAGAGAACTAAACTTTTTGACCGTATGTACTTGAGTCTATCCTAAAAGCTCTGAGTGGGCCAGGCACAGGGTCGCTTGGAGCAAATCTTGGAATTGGAGACGAGGCACTGGATTTCAGGGCCCTTTAGACATTACAAGCAGCCGAAAATAGGGTTCCTTATCATGGTTCCTGTATAATTCGTTAGAAAGGTAGGTTTGGGGCCACAGGTAGGGTTTAGGCGTTTAGGATTTGGGGGTTTAGGGCTTAGGGTTTTTGGATGATAGAATCGGGTTGTTGTGTAGGGTTTAGCTTGACAGCTCTTGGATTTTTCTGTCTTGTGTTGATTTGCCTCTTTTGGGGTGTTGTGGTTTCTTTGTCGCGATCTACACAAACGACTTGATGCTTGTAGAGTGTCAGGTAGGCCCTGAAACCCTAAACCCTGGCATAGATGCAAAAGGCTTTGGGCTGTCAGGGTTGAGGGTTTAGGGTACGGGTGTGTATCGGGTCTACGTGGAGGTTCCGGCACTTGCACAACAAAATCCGTACAGCTCAGTATCCTTGAACCCAAAAGCCGCTAACTGCAGTCTGTGATTCTGGAAGGCTTGTTTAGATGAAAGCTATGGGTAAAATCAGGCTAGTTAGGGTTCAGGGGGACTTGGGGTTAAGGGATTTAGAGGTAAGGGTGTCTAGTTCCTTCGGTTCTGGTTTGAACAGGGCTACAATTTACAAAAGCCTTAACACCCCAAACCCTGTACCCTGGCCTCATAAAGCCCGAATTCTCACTTAAAGAGGGGATTATGTCATATCCCAACCTTACCCTAAACCCTAGTAGTAGAATAGGTAACCTTTAACCTGTTTTGGGTAGTATAGTCCTATATAATCCTTCTTAAACCAAGAAGGTTAACCTTTACTTCCCCATGATACCCGACAAATAGGAAACCCTAAACCCCAACCTTATGGTTCTTGTTGAGGTGCTTTTCTATAGTCTCCTTAGGAATTACTTTTTCATTTTGGTCTTATAAAACCCCAGAGAACCCTAAACCCTAAACCCAAAACCCTATTTTGAAACCATGATTTTTATTATGGTGCTAAGGGTGGTGTAGCTTTTTGGGGGGTCTTTAAATTCCTACAGCACGAGCCGGAGAATCCTCGAAGCCCTACGCGGCTGGTGTTTGGCGATGGGGCTCCTGGCCTTTTTGGGCAGCTACAGAGCCTTGGCGGCGGAGTTCGGCGAGAGTGCGGCGCCGGGGGAGGTCGAGATCAGAGATCGCATAGATCGCAACCTCACAGGCAACCACGGCAGGCGGCAGTGCACCATCCGGGTCCCGACGTCCGTGGATGATTTAGTGGAGCTGTGCAAGGGACAGGCCAGCAGCCGGACCAAGGCGAGAGTACAGTTCGCTCTCTGTGAAAGGGAGCTAGCTTTTTGCTCTGGTAGTGTGCCCCTCCCCCTAAGGCCCCACTCAGTAAGAGTTGATTAATATTCATAATATAGATATAGTAGGACCTTAATAGTAGCTCTATTATAGACTCTTACTGTATGGGGGCCGTACCTAAGGAATACCTAGCTTTAAGGGATCTATGGTATGGCTTGGGGTTGAGGGGATACTAACATCCTTTAATTAAGGAGTATTCCTTGAATCATATTCGGGTTCCTAAGGTAATTTCAGGGATATTCGTAAATTAAAGGTTTTTGGAGTCTTTTGGCACTTTAACACTAAACCAACCCTAGGAAATCCTGCTGAAGCAGTCTTGCACAACCCGCCACAGCTTTTCCTGAGTAGTACCCTCTTGCCCTTTTGCTTGTGGGGTCGCCCTGTTAAAGCCGAACAACTTGTTGGCTGTAAACTCAACTTTTCAAATTTTGGGGTTCTTATAAGGTAGTCGGTTCTGAAAGTTTCAACCTTTATTTCCTTGGGTTTTGGGACAGTGAGACAAGGGTACCCTTTATCATAAAGGCGCTACTGGAGAACCCAGAACTTCATAGCGACACTGCGCTGGAAGCCCGACTACTTAAAGGATCATGGGACTTAGTAACTATAGTTATAAGTCCCTTAATTGAGGTTATAAGTAGTTATAAGTATAGTTACCACAATAATAACCCTAGTTACTAAGTCCCATGATCCTTTAAGTAGGTCCTGTTAAGCAGCTCTGCATTGCTGATGCGGGCTTTGCTGTGAGAGTTCTAAACCCCCAGAGACTCCAAAACTCTATAGTTAAGGAATATTTCTTAAATCATACTATAGGGTTCCCTATAATTATTCCCTATAATTAAGGAATATTCCTTAAATCATATTGGGGTTCCCATTATGATTTGAGGGATATTCCTTAATACTGGGGTTTTGGAGTCTCTGGACACCTTGCTTACCTTTGGTCAGTAGGGAATGGAAGAATGGTAGTAATAGTAGTTATAATTGTACCCCACTCCTCCATTCCCTACTAACCCTTATTGGCTGTAAACTCAACTTTTCAACTTTTGGGGTTCTTATAAGGTAGTCGATTCTGAAAGTCTCAACTTTCATTTCCTTGGGTTTTGGGGCCAGTGAGAACCAAAGGCAAGCTTGAATCCCCAAAAGCCCCGCAGTAGCCGCGAAGGCTCCGCACGGAGATCCTCTCGACGAAGGAGGAGCTCCTGTCCCACTTCGAAGGCACCTTCGGGGCACCTTGGGGTTTAGGGGTTCAGGGGTCTTAGGGGGCTTGGGTTCAGTGGTCTTTGGGTTTGGTTTAGGGTTTTGGTTTAGGGTTTTAGGGATAGGGTTTAGCGCCCCTCTCTCACTTCGAAGGCACCTTCGGGTTGAGGATTTAATGGAGGGGCTTAGAAACATTACCAGTGCTATTCTTTAGGGTTCCTTATCATAGTTATGGTATAGTATACCCCAAAACCCTACTCTAATTATTATTATTATTATTATTATTATTATGATTATTATGATTATTATGATTATTATGATTATTATGATTATTTTATTAATATTACTATTATGAATATTATGATTATTATGATTATTTTAATTATTATGATTATTAGAATTATGATTATTATTAAGGCCCCGCATTAAGGTTCCATGGTTTAGGGTTTAGGGCTCTGGGGGTTTACGATTTAAGGTCTAGGCTAGAGGGGCATTGGGGTTCAGGTTTGGGGGTTTGGGATTTAGGGGTTTAGCGGTTCGGGTTCAGCGTCTACGGTTTTGGGGACCGCTAAACTGCCTAAAACCCGAGGAGTTTTATAGAATTTCAGAATTGGTTAGGGTCTCGATTGGTGTCTTAGTAGTAGAGTAGATGAGCTTCAACCTTTTTGGGGTACTATATCCCTTTAGTTCCCCAGGCTACTGGGCAAGTATGTTTTTGTGTCAAATTGTCAATGCTTTTCTGAGCAAGTGTTTAATCGGGCTTCCTTTTGTTTTCAACCAGGTTTCTCGGGTTGCATATGGTTCTTGTAATGTAAGGGCCGTGCACAATATCGGAAAGCTCCGATATAGCTGTACCGCAATATACATCAACACCCTGTTTCAATTACTAAGGCCTCTCTAGCAGGCTCTTATGCGTATGGAGGATCCTTTAAAGGATTCTGAAGAATCGAACATCCAAGCAAAGAGTCGACATGATGGCGAAGGTTCAAAGGTAAGCCCGCAACACACTCAGGGTGTTTAGGGTGTAGGAGTTTCGATTATCCATAGGTTTTGCTTAGTCAGCCGAGGAACTGTTTGACAGTTTTTGGGTTGCCATATGCGGTATATAAAGAAATGGGTGGACCTTATTTGCGGTCTGGTTATTCAAGGGGGGAGTTAAAGCTACACGGCATTTTAGATGCTCCTAGGTGATTCGGGTTGCAGCAGGGGTGTTGTTGCGTTTTTTGTTGCAACTGCAAGATTGAGGAAGCGCTTTCATGTATGCCGCATCTGCGGTCGCACCCTAAAACCCTGACATGTAATTCCTACCGGGGAATGTGCCCCATCAGCTTTCGATCGCATAAGTGGATATAGCTACTTACTTCAGGAGCCGAGCAGGTAACCTTTAACCTTTTGGGGTTTATATAATCCTACCATGGTTGAAAAAGTTAACCTTTTTTGGGCCAGGGTACTCAGCCCATGACTCTATCATAGCTACCCTGGTGCTCCCAGTGGGTCCTTGTCCCTTCTTGCAGTCTTCGGTTCCTTATCAGAGTACCCCATACCAAAGAGGGAGCCCTGTTTTATTCCCAGGTCACTATAGGGATCCTACGGTTGATGATCTCAATCATGCATTCCCCGTAATTCGGATATACCATAATTCCCATAGTATAGGGTCATTCAGGTGATGCAGGATTCATATCATCAACCGTAGCACCTCACTGTTGACCCTGTCTATCAAGCCCCTGATGCTCGACGATCTCATCCGGAAAGCTCGCAGCCCTTAAACCATAAACCCTAAACCCTAAACTCTAAACCGTACCCTAAAGCCCCGTCCCTAAAGCCCCGTAGGCCCCAACGCCCTGAAGCCCTAAATCCAAACCCCGTCTCAAATCCTGACCAAGGATTTAGTTCAGGGTGTTGGGTTCAGGGGGGTTAGGCTCCATCTCGCCTTAAAAACAGAGCCTTAAACACAAAATTTCATTCCTAAGTTTTAAAATCTAAAACTCACTTCCAAGATCCCACTCCTAAGCCTTAAGCCGCACCCTAAAGCCTATCTGCTAGTTTGCACCACGACGGCCTCCCTCGCGTGAGGCGAGTTTGGAGCTTTGCAGCCGCAGCTGGTGCGCCCCGCCCTTCTTGGGTTCTTTTTGGGTTTACTTTAGGGGCCCGATGTTGGTTCTTGCGATGTTTATCGAAAGCGTCTTCGTGGCTACCTTTGTGAGGTTAGGGGGTTGGGTTTCGGGAACTCTGGTAGATATAATGGGTTGTGGGAGTCTGGTTTCTTGATTTTGTAGGAAGAAGCTCCTGAACAAATCTTAATTTCTGGCCTCAGAAAAAGCATCTTTTGGGGTTGACCCAAATCTTTGCAGGACTGAAGCTGAAACTGTGCTGTTTCAGTTTCGTGGTGTTTTGGGCTTGTGGGCTATGGCTTCTTTTGCAGATCAGCAGCTGCAGGGGCAACATCAGAGTGGTGATATAAACATGGTCATCCAGGGGTCAAGACTGGGTCAAGACTGATACTCAAACCCTGCATCCCTAATCCAAACCATAGCCGCCTAAGCCCTTAAACCTCCAAACCCCAGGCGACGGCTTCTTATTCTGAATTCTGATTGAAGCCCCTGATTGTGAGTAATACGAAGAACCCTAAGGAGCAGCATTATCAATAAGTGTTCGGGCCTCCAAAATATGTCCATTCGGGTTCAGGGCTTAGGGTTTGGTGTTTACGGTACAGCCCGATTATTTCCAGGACACCCAGCTCCCTGACTCGCCCTCGCCGGAGCCATGCCTACTGGGCGCCAAATCCCGTGAGCCAGCGCTCGCAGAAGAAGGCGGCAAAGCTGCGGAATGCGGGACCCAAGCGGCATCATTGCCGTGGTGCGTTTCCCTGAGTTGCTTCCCCCGCCAACACGATCCTGATCGAATCCGATTCCTACGTTTGCAGCGAGACCTACACGCAGGCGGAGACGGCTGGACCTCTCCCAGTTCCAGCAGGAGCTGGAGCGCAAGACGGAACAGGTGTGCGAACTCACGGCCCAGCACGGGGGCCCCGCCCCAGCCCCGCCCGGCTTCCGCTTCCTACCCTGCCCCTGCCCCCTGTATTTGGCTACCTAACTACTTTTCTGTATATAACAGGTCCCCTCTATAAACCTAGGTGCCCTGTAAAAGGGTAGGGTAAGGCCTTCCAGGTATACCATAAACGTCCAAACAAATTCCACACCCTAACCACTAAACCTGAACCCTAAGCGCTAAACGCTTATTCGAGCCCTGAAGCCCGAAAGCCCTGAACTTGAACCCCAAACTCTTAAGCCTTAAAAGCCCTAAAGCCCACAGCCCTAAACTCCTAAGCCTCAAAAGCCCAAAAGCCCAAAGCCCTAAACCGCAAAGCCCCAAAGCCGAAAGCCCTAAGCCCTAAACCCTTAAATCCTCAACCCTAAACCCCTAAGCCTAAAGCCCTAAACCCCCAAAGCCCCAAAGCCCTAAACCACTAAGCCACAAAGCCTAAAGCCCAAACCCCCAAAGCCCCAAAGCCCCAAACCCTAAACCCCTAAACCCTTAGGCCCTAAACACCCAAAGCCACACAGCCCTAAACCCTAAACACCTAAGCCCCAAAGCCCTAAACCCTAAACCCCTGAGCCCGCAAAGCCTAAAGCACTAAACCCCCAAAGCCCTAAACCCTAAACTCCTAAGTTCCAAAGCCTAAAGCCCTAAGCCGTGAAGCCCCAAAGCCCTAAACCCTAAACCCCAAAGCCCTAAACCCCTAAGCCCCAAAGCCTGAAGCCCTAAACCCTTAAATCCTCAACCCAAAACCCCTAAACCCTAAAGCCCTAAACCCGCAAAGCCTAAAACCCCAACCCCCAAAGCCCTAAACCCGACTCTCGACCTCGAGGCCGGATTCGCTCAGTCATCTGCTTGTGAGGCGGTCGCCTCCAGAGTGGAGGAGTGCCGAAACTTCTGGGGATCTAGGGGCTAGGGTTTAGGGTTTAGGGTTTAGGGGTACTTTGGAAATTGTGATTTTTGTGGGTTCCTATCATCCCTAAGAAACAACTAGAATTAGTTGTTTTTGCTAGGGGTCTAAGTTCAGTACAGTTTAGGGGTTTGGGGTTCGGGGTTTGGGCTGGGATTTCTGGAAATTTACCTGTACCCTATAAAACCTTCCTGCTTAGGATTCCTTATTATGATTTCCTGATATATGTCCGCAAACAGGTGGGGTCCAGGTGGGGTTTGGGTTTGGGGCGTAGGCTTTAGGGTTCAGGGTTTCTTAGTGGCTGAGCGGATACACTTTCACACTTTTTGGGATAATATTACCCACTATAAAACTAAACGTGTACATTTTTTGTGGCTTATGAACTCAGCAACTAAGGTTTGGGAGATATGGTTGTGGTCAGGGTATTCTGTGATTCGTAAAGTCCTGAAGCTCAGGCGTGAATATGGCATGGTCTTAGGGTTTAGGGTTTAGGGGTTTAGTGTTTAGGGGTTTAGGCTCTAGGGTTTAGGGTTTAGGGGTGGGCCAGCAGCCTCAAACTATGAGTCCTGAGAGCCGTCATGGGTTGCTACCGGTTTTCACGTTGTTGTTCGAAGTAGCGCTTACTTGGAGGCCCTGTTGACTTAGTAAGTCTACTTAGTATCCCCCAGAAACCCTATTATAATCCCCATAACCCACCTTACTAACCCTACTTACTAAGTCAAAGGGGCCTCCAAGTAGGGGGAATTCACGGCATCTACTTTGCCTCACCGGTGTAGCTTGGATTCAGGGAGTTTGAGGAGCCCAGTACTTCGACCGCCCGCCTTTCTGGGTTTCTTTGCCATAGTCGGTTTACATTTTACATTTTTATGGGTACTTGAACCCAATAAGGAAAAATGTACATGTTTAGCGTATCCCAACCATGAACTAGGTTCAGGGTGTGGGGCTTTGGGTTCCAGGGATTTTGCGGATTAGGACCACCTTAAGTTTAGGGCTTCAGGGCTCAGGGGATTGAGGGTTTACGGTCTCATGGATTTCAGAAGGCCTCCCGGGCTTTCCCGTGGCAGCATCTGCTACACTAGAGTATCCATAAGAATTGTTTGAGAATACTAACAATATTGTTGTCATTATGGTTCCAAAGGGTCTAAGCCATCTACAGGTGGGTAGTTTTAAGGTGGGTAGTCTCCCATAAGCCTTCCATACCACTCCTATAAGGTAAAGGGGTCTTATGGGAGTACTATGGAAGAGGAACTACCCACCTGAAATGGGCTTCTAAAGGGGGTTAGTACAATGTATCCCACAACCCAATCGTCTGATCATTGAGGCCTTGATTTGGGTGGAAGGATTGCATCAGTACATGTATAGCTACAATCAGCCCGAAGCCCTCAACCCCCAGCAGCACAGGCCCGAACCCTCAATCCTGAACCCCTTAACTCCGAACCCAACGATTAGGGTTTACTTGGCGTTCTTCTGGTTGACTCGTAGAACTTACATAGGACGGAAAAGTTTTTGGGTTTCTATATGAACCATAATAAGGAGGCTAAAAGTTTAATTTCATTTTTTGGGGGTGGGTTCAGAAGTCGGCCAAGTTAAGGGTTTGCCTAATGACAGGCTTCCGTGGGTGTACTGGTTCAAGCTTTGGGGCAAGATCATGGTTCAAGCGTTCGGGAAGCGTTTCGGCTGTTCTCGTAGAAGTGTGGAGCACAATACTCCCTACCTTGACGTGCAAGCGCTTAGCAAGTGGGGTTATAAGTAACGTAACTATACTTGTATTTTAATTTATGTCTGCTGAGAACTACAATTTACGCAAATTAAATTACCTATACTCCCACTGACTAAACTCCTTGATCTTCTAACTAAGTATGCAGTCTTGCAGATGAACCTGTGGTTTCCTTGGAGACTTGGAAACGTTCCTGAAGCCTATGCAAACCCCACCCCACAAAGCCCTTCTTGAAGCCCTACAAAAGCCATTACAGAAAATCTCTGAAGCATCCAAAATGCCCTTCTAAATCCCTAAGCAAGCCCCGGTAGAACAAGCTCTACACGTGGAAGCCCCAAACTCTAAACCCTAAAGCCCTAAACCCTAAAACCCCTACCCAAAGGCCCCAAAGTAGTTCCTTTTTGGGGTATATAGAATCCTAGAAGGTAATCCCGAAAAGGAACTACTTTGGGGCCTCTGGGTAAGCCCCAAACCAAAAGCCCTACAACTCAGGGACCCAAAAAGACACACTCATGAGCACTTTAGAAGTTGGGCTTCATTATAAGAGGGTTTATATGGGTTATCACCATCACTCTAAACCCTAGAGCCCTAAACCCTAAACCATGAACTCCGGGCCTGCCAGGAAGTGTCCTCCTCCTTGGATGCTCTGTGGCACGAGTGTCTCATGCTTAGCTTGGTGGGGTTTTGGAGCTTTGGGGCTTCGGGTTTAGGGTACTTAGGGTTTAGGGTATTTCGGGTTTAGGGTTTAGGGTATTTCGGGTTTAGGGTTTAGGATATTTAGGGTTTAGGGTATTTAGGGTTTGGGGGTTTAAGGTTTAGGGCTTAGGGTTTCAGGGAAGTTTTATGGGGTTATGCATATTGTCGAGGTCCCAGACCCCCGGGAGGATCTAGAAAGTAGATCCCCTGATATGGGGCCCTATACTACTAAGGGTACTTTACAGGAACCCCCATTAAGGGATCTACTTTTGGGATCCTCCCGGGGGTCTGGGGTTTCGATGGGCTCAATATCGGGACCTCAATGATCAGAGTCGACATGGAAGTTTCCGAAAATCGGGGACCCTAATATAGTACCCCTAATTTTCGGAAACTCCCACATGTGGGTGGAAAATGGGTAGTACTGCTGAACGCGAAGGACTTCCAGGCGATGTTATAGTACCTTTCTATTGGGCTTCTACCAGTATTTGGTTCCCAGAGACTCCAATACCCCTTGATTAAGGAATATACCTTAAATTATAGTAGGGTCCCTAATATGATTTAAGGCATATTCCTTAATTAAGGGGTTTTGGAGGCTCTGGGTTCTTGACCTGAAAAAAAGCCAGAGGGATGGTCTTTGGTCATCGCTGCCATGACGGCCCAAAGCAGATGGCGACGAAATACCTCCCTCAGCATGACAGGGTGTTCGTCAACCATCCGGGCCAACTGCATCAAATGGGAGTTTCCGAAAACAGGGGGACCCTAATATATAGTCCTAAATAGTAGAATCCTTATTATAAGGATCCTTAAATGAGGTACCCCTAATGTTCGGAAACTCCCAAATCGTTGACCGGAGGGGTGGGGCAACGCCTCGATGCCTCCCCTGAAGCACAGCGCGCACCGCGCGGACATGTGCAGGTACGTCGAGCATCACTTTGGAGGAGGGACCTACCTGGACATGAAGACGGCATTGGTCGTTAATGTAGGAACCTGATTAAGAAACCCCGGGCATATAACGCCAAAATAGGGTTGATATAAGGAACCTTAATAAAGCCCACCAGATTTCTTAATCAGGTTCTTACATTACCTATGATGACCTCCAGGCAAAATTCATCTCCGAGATAGAGCGAGAGCAAGCAACTTTGCAGCCGGGCAGCTCAGCTTTCTGGGTGGAGCGAGGCCATCATCGTAGTCAGGCCCTATATGGGAGTTTCCGAATTAGGGTACTTGTACCTTATTTGGGGGTCCTTCTAACAAGGATCCTACCCTACTATTTGGGGTACTATATCCGGGTCCCCTATTTTCGAACACTCCCATATCAGCTTGGACCTTACTGAACTTGAAAACCCTTCGATCAACTTACAAACCCGTATCAGAACGATCAAACCCTATACCCAAAGGCCCCAAAGTAGTTGTTTTTTGGGGCTCGTATATAGAATCCTATAGGGTAATCCCAAAAAGGAACTACTTTGGGGCCTCTGGGTATAAACCTATTGCTGCCCTTGCGCAAACCTGCGCAGTATCTCGCTTACTACTTATCTCAGCCCCTTAACATCCTAATCTTTCGCAACTCTAAGCTTCTGGTGACACATACGCTGTAACCCTCTCTTTCTTATAAGCCGTTAGACCCATCTAGTAGCTAACCCTTTCGCTACAATCTTCTAGTAGCCCTTTTGACCCTAAACCCGAAACCCTCAGCGATCCTTTTAAGCAGTGCCAGTCACCTGAGGTGACCTGCAGATAGCGCAGAAAATCCTGGCGATGTCTCCGAAGGTGGGCACCAATCCTGTTTAATCCGTATAGACCCATAGGCTCCATAGTAGTTCCTTTTCGGGGTTGCCTTATAGGATCCAAAACAAAAACCACAAAAGGGACTGCTAAGGAGTCCCTGGGTAAGGGTCCCATAGCACACCCCATGAATCCTTATGTTTATAGGGGTTTCAATTTAAACTGCCAAGCCCTATCTTTTTGTAGGTTCTTACTATAAACCCTAATATTGAAGTCCTAGGGACCTGACAAAAAAGTAGGTTTCTGTATGTTCTTAGAAATGTAGGAACCAAACCTTGGGCCTTTATTACGGTTCCTTCTATGCAATGAACTAGTTTAAGGGATTATGTTTCAGGGCTCCGGTTTTGCGGGTTCGTCGGTAGTTAGAAGAAGTAGGGCTCGGAGGGTTGAGGTCTTGGTTTAGGGCGTTGGGGTGTTCGGGTTTAGGGTCTTGGGGCTCGGGGTTGAAGGTTTAAGTTTAGGGCAGTTTAGGGACATTCGATGGTGTCGTTTATCAGGAGATCCACAAAATGCTTACCTTTTCAAGAAAGAAGACGTTGAATACTTCACCTGGAGCTACCAGCAATTGCAACCCTTGTCTTAAGAAACATGAACCCTCAAGTGATCCCGAAAGTAACTCCCCATAAGACCCTTCAAAACCTCATAGAGCGCAATAGCCACTGCAGAGCCCCAGGGAGAAAAGAAGCTACCCAGACGTCCGGGAGGATCTAGAAAGTAGATATCCTAATCTGGGGCCCTATACTACTAAGGGGTACTTTATAGGAACCCCCATTTAGGGATCTACTTTTCCAGATCCTCCCGGGGGTCTGGCTAGCAAAGCTCTCAAGCCACAACTCCCGCAAACTCCAGAATTTCCTTATGCGTAGATAGCTTCGAAAGTTTGAACTTTTTGGGGCCCGGTTGTTGAAGAAGAGAGTATGAGCCCTGATACAAGTCCCCTTGCCTATCCATGAACATCCACGAAACTTTGAAGCAGCCATAAGTTCGATAACTCGACGCCTTGCAGGCGACTGCATCACCCGCTGCCGAGGGTGAGGTGGCGTTATAAATTAGAAATGGGTGGTTGTCAAAATTAGGGTCCCGTCTTGGGTCCTGGCACCTAATATTTAGGGTACTCTACCCAAATATGAGAGATCAGGATTCCAGCCTCCAAAAGGAGCGAGGGTTCAAGTTCCGTACAAGGTCTTAATGTAGGAACCTGATTAGGAAACCTTGGGCCTTTAATGGGGTTCTTTATATGAATCCTACTCTTTTGGGGTGATAAGCACAGGATTTCTTAATCAAGTTCCTACATTAGCCGAGAGGGTGCAGGTGTTTTCAGGGTTTTCCAGGTTTTAGCATTTAGGGTGCTGGGTAGGCGTCTTTCGTGTTTAGGGGTGGCTGCCGAAACGAGGCGGTGCTTCATTTACGTGCTCGGAAAGCTTTTGCCAAGCAGGCGCAATAATGATGCGAATCGAAGAACCGAATTGAAACCAAGATCGATGTCGAAAGTATCGAATGCAAGATTACATTGACCTCGGAGTACACTACTCATGCACCGGACTACGTGTGAGTCTGGTGCACTCTCAGATGACTGCGAGAGTGGAAACACGAGTCTGGCGGGTGTCTGGCTGCCCCACACGGTCTGAAACGCAACCCAGCAGACTCCGACGTGGGAGATAGAGCTTTTACTATTACTTAGATGGTCAACGGGGAATCTTTAAGCTTTTTGCCCTTATATATTGGCTCTATTTTAGAAAGTTTGAACATTTTGCGGCCCGGTTGTTGAAGAAGAGAGGTTACGGCTCCTGTAAATACCTGAAGAAGTTCTCTGAGACCCTCTTATAAAGCACTCAGAACCCTTAACATAGAGCTACCGAGAAAAACACCATGAGACATATCTTAGTCGTAGAGTGGGCAACCGTTAACCTTTTGTCGTGATATCAGAGTCCCTATCCTCACATATTTCCCAAGGTTAACCTTAAAGTTCCCTAGGATACTGGACAAGTAAGAGAACACCATAAGACGCATGGGTGCTCTAAGTTGGGGGTCCCGTTTGGGATCCGTTTATACTAGGATGCCCAGTAGTACCCATATTCCCTTTTTGTAGTCCTAGGTTCCTTATAAAGTTACCCAATACCGAAAAGAGAGGCCTTTTTGTTCTTAGGTTACTGGGTATCCTAGTATAAGATGCCGTACTATTTTCGGGGGGCCTTTAAACTTTAAACAGGGACCCTAATTTAGAGATCTATGCTGATAGTAACCCCTATATCAAAGGGGAAAAGGATGGACCCTTAATGGGGACCCCTACCCTATAATGGGCTATATAACGGGTATATAATAGCTATATTAAGGGTATATATTTAGGGGTCCTTATTAAGGGTCCCTCCTTTTACCCTTGGACTATAGAAGCCTTCTAGAAACCCTGATAGATCCCTTTAAGGAGCCCTGAAAAGAGACGCAAAAACCACCCGTGTGACTCAAAGCCAGAAAGGCGTCACCGGCGAGCTCCGTGGCAAAGCTTCAGGAGCTCAAAGACCGAACCTTGGCCCAACAGCTTTGGCTAGGATGCCCAGTAGTACCCTTATTCCCTTTTTGTAGTCCTAGGTTCCTTATAAAGTTACCCAATACCAAAAAGAGAGGCCTTTTATTCTTAGGTTACTGGGTATCCTAGCAACAGCTTTGGGTTCTTAGATAGTGGACGGGGGAACTTTATTTTTTTTGGCCTTATATGTTAGCTCTATCTTAGATAGTTTGGACTTTTTGGGGCCTGGTCGTTGAAGAAGAGAGGGTTAGGGTGTTTCTCTTCGGGTTTAGGTCCTTTAGGTTTCTGCAGGTGTAATCCTTCAGTTCAAAGGGTTTCTTACAGGGTTCTATAAGGGATCTATGGGGGTTTAGGGTCTATTAGGTTCCTGGGTAGCAGCCTTTTGCTTCTGTTGTTTCAGGGTCCCCATGTTAAAACTGAATATTAGGAAAAGGGGTGCTTTGATCACAAAGGGGCTACTCAAAAACCTAGTTTGGGCTATAGGGTGTTTCTATTCGCGTTTAGGTCCATAAGGTTTCTGCGAGCTGAGGGGAAAGCCATCTCGGACCCTGCTCTCTTGCAGGCCTTTGCCATCCAAATATGTGCGTTGCTTGTCTATGCCGCTCTTGGTGTAGTTTATTTTTCTGTGTTTCGTTTACATGATTTGTAGGATGGTCTTTCTGTTTTAATAAAAGGTTGTCCAAGAAAGCATTTGTTGCTGCTAAGGGGAGTAGAGCCATGCATAATTATTTTGGGGTGTCAACAGGGTGTTGCAGGCACTGGGAACTGCTGGGAGGTGCATGCAAGCTCTCGCGCTCTTAGCATTCAGGGTTCATAGTAGAAGCCAGAAAGTTGGAACATGGCTTTGGGAGGATTAGTGCTAGGATGCTAGGATCCCTTATACTTTACCTTCAGGATGAGGATAATGATGTTCCAACTTTCTGTCTTCTACTATAGGGATGGGGTTTACGGCTTTGGGTTTGTTTAGTTTTGGATTAGGGCTCAGAGCTCTGAAGCGGAATCCGGTACAGATCCTGCTGGGTGCACGCTTGTCGGCTTCTAAGCCCATGTGATGCCTTCCATCCTATATAAGCATGGGAATAAATATCAATGGGGCCTGCTTGGTATATCACTACAGCTATGGTGCACTATACCCTGCATCCTAAACCCTAAGCCGTGAATCCTAAACCCTAAGCCCTGCACTGTACCTCAAAACCCTACTCAGATAATTTAAGCCCCCATAAAAAGCCCAGGGCCATGAACTCCAAACCCCATAACCCCTTTTACCTTGTAGCTCTATACCTAGAAGTGGAGCAGGTAACCTTTAACCTTTTTTGGGTAGTATAGTCCCTATATAATCCCTGTATAACCAAAAAGGTTAAGCTTCAGTTCCTCATGATACCCGACAAGTAGGTATAACCCTGCAACTCCAAGCCTTGTAACCCCTGAACCCTCAGCCAGCCCCGAGCCGCGATCATCGGAAATCCCGAGCAGCAAGGCGTAATTTGAGCCCCAAAGCGCGACCGCACAGCCTTACAGCCCAGAGCCTCTAGCCCGAAAGTTCTCAGCCAGGGACCCGAATTAATGATTTGATACCCATTGCCGTAAACCCAAACCCTAAGGAGCCAGAGCCCTAGATGCTAAACCTTAGGTACTGCCCCCATACAGTAAGAGTCTATAATAGGGCTACTATTAAGGTCCTAATATATCTATATTACAAATATTATTCAACTATTATTAAGTGGGGGCCTTAATAATGCGAGCAGGGTTCTGGTGTCCACTATACCATAACTATAAGGAACCGCCCAAAAGAGTAACTCTTATTGAGTGGGGGCAGTACCCAAGCTAAGCCCCGCAAACTAATTCCAGGAGTGGACCGCTTGGAAGGGCACAGCGCGGGCCAAGCAGAGGCGCTCGCAGGGCCGTTGAGGCTTAGGTTTTTAGGGGCTTAGGGGCTTTAGGGGTTTAGGGGCTTAGGGTTTAGGGGCTTCAGGGGTTAGGGCTTAGGGGCTTAGCGGCTTATGGGCTTAGGGGCTTTGGGGGTTTAGGGGCTTAGGGGTTTAGGGGTGGATTTAGGGCTTTACGGGTTTAGGGTTTAGGGTTTAGGGGCTTAGGGGTTTAGGGGTTTAGGGGTCCAGGGTTTATGGGTTTAGGGGTTTAGGGTTTGGGGTGTAGGATTTTAGGGTTTAGGGTTTAGGGGCTTAAGGGTTTAGGGGTTTAGGGGCTTAGGGGTTTAGGGGTTTAGGGATTTAGGGGTTCAGTGTTTAGGGTTATGGTGAATTCTTCAGTTCAGGGCTCAGGTTTACGGTTTTTTTTGGGTTTCCGTAGCTGAGTGGATATACTTTACACTTTTTAGGATAATATTTCCCACTATAAAACTGAAAGTGTGCACGTTTTGAGGCTTATGAACTCAGCAACTAAGGTTTGGATTAAGTCTGGCAGTTGTGATTCGTTTTTGGATTTGTTCTAGAACGGAGTAATTCCCCTGGGTTCCGACACGCCAGTGGAATACCCTCTATCTTCGCTTCGGTCATATTCGGAGATCGTGCATCTTCGTGGATCTGTCTTTGGATTTTGCTTGCCCGTGATGAAACCCTATGGAAGGCCTTAATCATGTAACCCTGACAGCCACGATAAGTTTCAAAATCATGAACCCTAATATACTACCCTTAATAGTGGGATCCCGGATCCCCATTATAAGGACTCCAAAACAAGGTATCGGAAACTCCCATATCTTAAAGTAAGTTCTCTTGGAAGCAAGAACCCTGTCACTGTGAACACGGGGCCCTAAACCCCGGAACCCTAAAAGCCGTTTGAGCAGTCCTCATCTGACACAGCGGTGAATAGCTGGGTACAACATGTGCTTGTCGTTGGCGTCTAGTTATACTATAATCATGCAGCACCCCAGTTGCAACCCCTCAGCCCCAAACCCTATTGCAATAATCAAGGCCCCACATTTTTTCGGTTCTTGCATCCGTTTATTGCTCTTGAGCATGTTTCCCTTTTGGGGTCACTGTTAATTACGGTGCCTTGCGCAGGGATTTTCGAAACAGAAGCCCTAAACCCTAAGGGGAGGGGGAGTCATGGAACCCTTTGGAGTTAAGGGAAGTCATGGACTACAGGTATGGTTTGCAAAAGTTTTGTCTTGGCGCATGAAGTTTTGGGCTTTTAGACCCTTAATATAGGGGCCTAAAGGCTACCAATACTATTTGGGGGGTTGCCTTGCTATAAGTATAGCATAATGGGCACTGAACTGTTCATGAGACTCTGAGACAAACGAAGGACGAAAATCGAGGGCGCGATTCGCTACTGCACGGCCAAGAAGTTGTACAAACGATGCCCCTATGACGGGGTATGGAAGTACCTGGTATTGGTGTCCGACACCGTCGAGTGTCTTGGCTCTTGCTTGGATTCTCCAACGTGTGCTGCACTCATGCTTCTATCTCCTGCGCAAACAGCACCCACAACCAAGGCAAGGTCACGAAAAGCTCCGCGTGCGAACGGGCCGCCCAAATCAGTGCAGCAGAGCATCTGGACTGGTGCTCCGGTCCGTCCAGCGCTCCGGCCGGCGGTTTCTCGAGCAATCTCTGCTAGCTCACCAGCTCAGACGGCTCCGAGCGCGCCCGCTTCCAAAACCCTCTTGTAATTATTAAGGCCCCTACATTCTACATTATAGACCCCTCTTATAGATCCCTTTTGGAACGCTTCAGGAAATCCTTAAAGGGAGCCCTAAAGAGGAGTTGGCCAGACTTGCGCGGCAGCAGCTCCGCTTTGAGGTGCACTTGGGATCGCTAGGGCGGAGACTGGAGGATCCCGGAGTCCTATACTTATAATTACTTATAGCCCCAATTAAGGAATTGAAAACTACAGTTACGAAGCACCCAACATTGCTCTTAGGGTTTAGGGATTAGGGGGTTTAGGGGTTTAGGCTGATCCCGGAGTCAAGGGATCAGCCATGTCCTAGTTCATGGTTCCCCCAAAAGAATAAACAGACCGGCTAGTAGACCTTCTTAAATAATTCCTACTATACGGGATATAGATATAGGGCTCTGTCTATTATTTCTAAAAGAACAAGAATGCAAGGGATACACCCAACATTACTCTTAGGGTTTAGGGGTTTAGAGGTTTAGGGTTTAGGGGTTTAGGGCTTTGGGGTTTAGGGGTTTAAGGGCTTCAGGGTCTAGAGGTTTAGGGGTTTAGGGTTTAGGGGCACACCCGTAATATCAAATGGAGGTTTTCTAGAATTAGGGGTACCTTATCTTAGTTCTCCGATACCCAACCTTTATGCGTTTTGGTGTCGTGTAATTTAGCAGAATCTGAAAGTTTAACCTTTTGTTTCTGTGGCTATTGGGGAAGTAAGGATACACCTGTAACATTATATTGGAGGTTTCCGAAAATGAGGGGTACCTTATTAGGGGTTCCTCAAAGTAAGGATCCTACTATGTCGTAGGATACTATATCAGGGTTCCCCATTATTCGTCATAATATAGTTGCCAATATTTCTCTTAGGGTTCCTGCCCTGACCCCCCAAAAAGTTCAAAAAGTAGATCCCTTAAGGGGGGTTCGTATAAAGTACCCTTAGGCGTATAGGGCCCCAAGTTACGGGATCTAGTTTCTAGATCCTACAGGGGTCTGGGTGGTTATAGCCATAGCATGATGTGCCCCCGACTATATAACCCGTTTGCTACACGGGCTGTATTGGCTTTCTTGGCAGTCGAGTGGGTAACCTTTAACCTTTGTGGGGCAGTTACTATAGTCCCTGTATGATCCCAATATACTCCCAAAGTTAACCTTCGGTTCCCCAGGATTTTCGACAAGTAGGTATAGCTGTAGGGCTTCTTTGATTCTTTGTCATAGTTGGGTAACATGTCACGTTCTTATGGGCACTGAAACCCAAGAAGGGACAGACATGCAAATTTTCAACACTACCCAGAGCATGGACAAGGGTTGAGGGCTTAGGGTGTAGAGTTTACACCTTCAAGCATCCTTAGGCCACCTAAAAAAGGGGGTCGGCATAGTTACCAAAAGAATGCCTTAGGGTGCCTCGTTATAACATTTGCGGATGATATCTCCGCGGACTCTACTCTAATTACAAGGCCCCTGGATGACTGTAGTTTAGGGATATTCCTATCACGCATCCTACATGCAGCTCAGGCAATTCCAGGAAGGTGGGCTAGAAGTGGATTGGCACGAGAAGAGCACAGCGTTTTGAAACCCATGCCTTCATGCGGTAATTAGGGGCGCGGCAGGGGTTCATGGTTTAGGGTGCTAGGCGCACCTGTCACGACCTACTTTCCAAGTCCTCTGATCCTTTAAGGGGGTCCTGCTCCGATGCCGAAAACCTTGGGTGGCAATTTGGGAAACTTTTTAAATTTCCCTTTATGGTCCCTATAGAGGTACCTATCCATAAATACTTTTCAGAGCCTCAAAACTACAACCCAGAAACCTAGTTGTTAAAGTTCATAGGAAGTAGGGAGAGTATGCTTGCAGTTGTTCACAGCAAAGAGCAGTCCAATGTCAACTAACTGAAATGAAAACATGATGTCAGGTTTATACTTTAGGACGAGTGCAACGTCTTCCTATTTCCTGCGCTAACCGGTGCATTCCTAGCCAACTCGGTGCATTCAAAGCCGAAAGCGCTATTAATTTCAGGGTTTAGGCTCCTCATCCCAAGCATTAACCCTGAAATCCCGAATCGTAAACCTCCAGCCCTGGACTTCTAACCACTCCATCATTCCAAGGGCAAAAGGAGGGACCCTTAATAAGGACCCCTAGGTATATTCCCTAATATACTTATTGTATACCCATCATATGGCCCATTATAGGGTAGGGGTCCCCATTAAGTCCCCTTTGAATCATAAAGCCTCGAACCCAAAATCCTCAACCCAAGCTTGGCCCAGATAGGCCAAGGTCCTTGAAGGCAGGCAAATTCCAAAAGCTATATAGCATTGACGAGGCAAGGTAAGCCCCTCTAAACCTGAACCCTCAACTCCCCAAACCCTAAACCCTAAGCCCTATACCCTAAACCCTCAAACCCTAAACCCTGAACCCTAAACCCAAACCCTAAACTAAACCCCAACCCTAGACCCTAAACCCCAAATCCTTGAACCCTAAACCAAAACCCTGAACCCTAAATCCCTAAACCCTAGACCCTGAACCCTAAATCCCGAACCCTAAACCTAAACCCTGAACCCTAAATCCCTAAACCCTAGACCCTGAACCCTAAATCCCGAACCCTAAACCCTAAACCCTAAACCCTGAAACCCTAAACCCCAAACCTAAACCTTCGAGCGCCTGCAGGCAACGGCGGAGTCCTTGGAGGTCAAGCTCGTGCCTGGGGCTCAGCTTGCTGGTTCATTGGTAATCAGATCCCCGGAAGGATCTAGAAAGTAGCTCCCCTAATTTGGGACCCTAGCTACTAAAGGAAATTTATAGGAAGCCTCATTGAGGGATCGGATCTACTTTTTGGATCCTCCCGGGGATCTCTTAGTTCCCCAATACCAGACCTTTCAACTTGTTGGGTTCCTTTTAAAGGGATCCTTACAGGGGTCTATAAGGGATCAGTGTCTTAGTTCTCCTGAGCTAGACTGCACCGGGACCTGGCTACTAATAATTTGGGCATCTTAGGTCAGCTTTAAAGGGATCTATAAGGTTTCCTTTCAGGGATCTACTTTAGTTCCCCACTATCCAACCTTTCAACTTTTTGGGTTCCTTTTAAAGGGATCCTTAACGGGGTCTATAAGGATCAGTGTCTTAGTTCGCCTTAGTAGCTGAGTGGATACACTTTACACTCTGGGAGCATCCCGCAGCTCAGATCGTGATCAGGGTCTGGGTACTTGCGCAAATCCAAGGTTAGAAGTATGCGCCCCTAATATCTTAGATAGTGAACGGGGGAACTTTTTGGACTTGTATATTAGCTCTATCTTAGAAAGTTTGAACTTTCTGGGACCCGGTTGTTGAAGAAGAGAGTAATCTTAGTTCCCTAATACCCAACCTTTTAACATTTGGGATCTTGTAGTTTAGTTGTAACCGTAAAGTTTTGCCTTGTATTTCTGTGGCTTATAGTTTAAGTAAGTAATTTGGGAATCATAGTGATTGCAATGATTGCAACAGTGGCTTCGGGTATACTGTCGCATAGGGCTGCATGGGAATACTGTGCTGAAGTGTTCAGAGCCTTAAAATAGGGTTTCTTCACTCTCCTGTTGCCACACCCCAAACGCTAACCTGTGGACCGTCAACCACCGAGTCATATGACAAAACACATAGGGGCGTTAATAATTAGAATAGGGTTTTGGGGCCCATTATACTATAGTTATAATAACGAGCCCCCAAAATAGTATAGGTAATCATTAAGGCCCCTCTTGTAACTCAAAGCCCTAAACCTGCTAACAAAACACATGGCCTTAATTCCTCAACCCAGAGACTCCAGTATCCTTTAATTTTCGAATAGACCTTACATTATACTAGGATCCCTTATATGATCTTAAGGAGCATTCCTTAACTAAGGGATATTAGAACCCCTAAATCCTAAACCCTATAGCTCCCTTTAGAGGAACCCCTAAAGGAACCCTAGGTACTACTTAGTTAAGGGATCTTGGAGAGCCGTTGGGGTATTGGGGTCTCTGGGAACATCCCACAGCTCAGAGCCTGGTAAGGGGTCATGGTACTCGCGCAACTTAGGGACCCAGAGAGCACGTGAAGTAGGGCTTATATTACCATTTTGGTGAGTGTAGATAGGGCTCCTTTTGAATGTTGGTGAGTGTATGTATTGGGTTTTAGTATGGGGATACTAGCAATATAAACCATACTCTACATAAGCATAAGCATTTTACAGGGAAATCCCTACCTTATTGGGCTTCATTGTAAGGGGTTTATATGGGACATCTCTATCCTAAGTTGTGCTTATGTGCTTTTTGGGGGCCCTAGTAAGGCGAAGAGGATGTGGGGCTTGCGGCTGAGGGTTCAGGGTCAAGGGCTTGAGGTTTAAGGCCTTGGGGCTTATTGTTGAGGGTTCATGGTTTAAGGCTTAGGGATAATTAAAGTACAATCCAGAAAGTTGGAACATCAGTATCCTCATGCCCTCAAGGTAAAGTATAGGGCAACACAGCACTAATCGTCCCAAACCCATGTTCCAACTTTCTGGGATTCACTATCAGGGTTTAGGGCTTAGGGTTTAATTTGTGTACACCTACCCAGACCCCCGGGAGGATCTAGAAAGCAGATCCCCTAGTATGAGGCCTTATACTACTAAGGGTACTTTGTAGGAACCCCCATTAAGGGATCCACTTTTGGGATCCTCCCGGCGGTCTGGGTAAGGACTTGGACCCATCCCAACTAGAACCTCCTCGCACCCGGGATGCCCATCTGGAGAGCCGTCGGTGCTCCTCCGCACTCTGTGGTGGGTGCGTAGCGTCCCTGCACCTATGTAGCTCCCTGCAGCCGCTGCGTGGATGTGAGTGTAGCTTCTTTCAGGGTCTCCAACTCCTATCAATGTTCCATGACCTTGGAAGGAGAACTGGAAAATCTTGGCGTTGCGACCGTACACCTTAAACAGACTTATCCACTAATTATTGTAGTCCTGTATACGCATACCGTCAAGCCCCTAAAGGCCCTACTCTAAGTATCAAGGCCCGGAGAACATCCTTTGTAAAGTCTACAAAAGAGCCATTCATGCTGCCAAGAGCCCTGTGCTGCGTCCCAAACCTCATGAAAGACACGATCCGCCAGCGTCCTTGTGAGTTTCGCCTTGGGTAAGGGGTTAGGATGGGTTATGGGCTATGGGTTTAGGGTTTGGGACCGAAGCCCGGACCTCCAAAGCCTCCAAAGCATGAAATCGAGCTGAGGGTTTGTAGTTTAGGTTAGAAGGGCCCCCACCCTGTAATAGTGGTATCATAGGAATATAATAGGGCCCTAATATAATCCTTATAGTCACTATTACAGGGTGGGGGCCCCTTCTAAGGTTTAGGTTTTTGGGGTGTTTAGTGCTTTGCCCTCCCAAGGACCACTGGGGAGGCTCTTCGAACACTTGGCTCGCCAGTGCCCTATGGGATAGAACCCAGAGACTCCAATATCACTTAATTAAGGAAGATTCCTTAAATTATGGTAGGATCCCTTATATGATTTAAGGCATTTAAGGTATATCCCTTAATTAAGGAATATTCCTTAAATTATGGTAGGATCCCTCATATGATTTAAGGCATATTCCTGAATTAAGGGATATTGGAGTCTCTGGGAAGGTTGCAGGACTGTCCTCTTCAGAGGTGGACCAACGAGGGTTCTATAAGGTTCCTGCAAGGCCTCTTCAAGGCCCTACAGCCTTAAACTCCTAAGCCCCAAACCCTAAACCCTACTTCCCAAAGTACTCAAGATTTGTTTTTCAGGATCCTGGTGTTTCATATGGCATTTCGGATTATCTTTCTTGGAGGTCCCTAATGGAGTAGAGACTCAGATGGTACATGGCCGACAACCCGGAAAGGTTCAGAAAGTTTTGATGTAGTGGTCTGAGGCATTGCAATACTATTACCCTAAACCCTAAACTTATAGACCCTAAACCCTAAACCCATTCCTTCGGGCAGCTTACTATACATGCAACCCGAGGCCACATGCCTTGCGAAGGGCGCTCCTAGGTTCATCCAGATACGTACATCGTCGATGGAAGGTCTTTACGTTTCTTGTGCTTTCCAGGTCCCTGGGTAGTACCCTTTTGCCCTTTCTATTTTAGGGTCCCCTGGTTAAAACTGAATATTGGGAAAACGGTACCCTTACTATAATTATAAAGGGGCTACTTAGGAACCTAGGTTCAATGTTTGGTATCTGCAGGGTCTTTGCTGCAAAAGTGACAGAAATAAATCGACATAGGGGTGCTGATACTTTACCCAAAACCCCAGACCTTGCAACCTATCTTTAAACCGCTTTGTCATCATTTTCGTTCTATACCTTATTCTTACTAAACCTGAACCCGAAAGCCTCCTCGCCCTGCGCCTCGAAGCTTTCCTTTACTTTCCGATAATTAGGGGTGCCTTGTCAGGGGTCCTTATAGTAAGGATCCTACTTTTTATGGTACTATGTTAGGGTCCCCTGTTTTTGAGTACCTTAGGGCCTTAATTGGGGTTACAGGTAGATATGACAATAGCCACCTCACTTGTAGCCCTACTTACGACGTCCCTTGAACCTCCAATTAGACCCTAGACCCTAGCCCCCAAACCTCCATAGAATTCTGAAAGGAACCCTTGCGGGAGCCCTTACGAAGTAAGAGCCCGAAAGCTGCTTTGGGTCTGGAGGTCCGACTCTACCCGACAGCTCAGAGCCGAAATTGAGGCTCCGACGGGCTCTGTTCAAGTTCGGGCCCTTTTGGGTGTAGGGTTTAGGTAGGATTTGCGGCTTGAGGCTGAAGGTTTTAGGGCTTTGTGTGCCCTAAACCCAAATCCCAAACTTTTAGGTTCCAGTACCAGTTTTACGGTTTCCTGGCGAGGTGTTTGGGGGTTATGCGAATGTAGGACATGAGGAGCCTCAGGGCCGGACGGCTTTGGGGGGAGGGTTCTTGCATGTTCCCGGAGACTCGAATATCCCTTAATTAAGGAATATTCCTTTAAATCATATTAGGGATCCTACTAAAATTTAAGGTATATTCCTTAATCAAGGGATATTGGAGTCTCTGGGTTTGGGGCTGTGTGCTGCAGGGTTCTAGAATTTTGGGTTCTCAGAACTGCAGGTTGTGCGCCCGCCCGGAAATTTGGTTCGTATGTACGGTCGAAATGTGCGACAATCGACAGGTGAGTTGAGTCAGATGGACATCAAATGCTGAAGCTCTGATACTGTTAATACTTTCGAGCCGCTCATGACTTAGGTGTCTGTAGTCCCTTTTCAAACCGGACGCCCGTAGGCACTGCGGAGGGGCTTCGTCCAGGAGGGCCAGGAGAGAGATGACCAGGCCGTTGGGGGTTTAGGTATTCTAGGGCTTACTTAGGGGTACTTAGAGATAATTTTTATTTTTTTGCTATTATAATCCCTAAGAAACAGCTAAAATTATGATTTTTGCTATGGTTCTAAGTTCAGTATAGAGGCCATTGGGGTTTAGGGATTCTAGGGCTTAGGGCTTTGGGGCTTTGGGGGTTTAGGGCTTTAGGCTTAGGGGTTTAGGGTTTAGGGCTTTAGGGCTTAGGGCTTTAGGCTTTGGGGCTTCGCGGTTTAGGGTTGAGGGTTTAGGGTTTGTGGTTAGGGTTCAGGGTTTAGGGGTTCCTGGCTCTAGTGTTCTTCAGGGTTCAGCGTTTAGGCTTTAGGAGGTCAGCAGGATTGCCGCAGTAGCCTGTGCTTGTTGAACTCTGCAGATGGCAAAGCCAATTTCGGGTTGCAGTGTGGCTCCCTGGTCCAGGACATCGTATATCTTTTCCAGGTTGCAGCAGTGGGGCTCCCTGGTCGAGTAAGCGCATCCTGGATCTATTCCAGGTTGCAGCAATGGGACTCCCTGGTCGAGCACATCCTGTATCTATTCCAGGTGGCAGCGGTGGGGCTCCCTGGTGGAGTACATCGCGTATCCATTCCAGGTTGCAGCTGTGGGGCTCCCTGGTCGAGTACATCCTGTATCTATTCCAGGTTGCAGCAGTGGGGCTCCCTGGTCGAGCACATCCTGTATCTATTCCAGGTTGCGGCAGTGGGGCTCCCTGGTCCAGGACATGGTGTATCGATTCCTGGTTGCAGTGAGGCTCCCTGGCATAGAGCTACAATGGGAGCGGATGATGGAGAAGACCATGGACTCGTAGATTGCACACGCAGCTTGCTTGCTTGCCTGCCTGCCGTGCACGGGGCCATGACGTTTTCGGAACTCCGTGCCCCGCTTGCGTCTTAACCCCTTCGGGGGCGGAGACAACGCGGGTGCCCATCCCTTTGCCGGGGGATGTCTTCTCTCTCTCTCTCTCTCTATCTCTTTCTCTCTCTCTCTCTCTCTCTCTCTCTCTCTCTCTCTCTCCCTCTCTCGCTCGCTCGCTCGCTCGCTCTCTCTCTCTCTCTCGCTCTCTCTCTCTCTCTCTCTCTCTCTCTCTCTCTCTCTCTCTCTCTCTCTCTCTCTCTCTCTCTCTCTCTCTCTCTCTCTCTCTCTCTGAACTGTAAACATCCGTTTGTTCGTCGGCTTCCCCCTTGAGCCACCGACCCTGGCTTTTTGCTGAACTTGATGGGCGAGTCACCAGCCGTTAGTCGCCGTAGTACTAGTAGTAGGTAACCTTTGACCTTTTTCGGGTACTACAACGTCTTTATAATCCCAATGTATTCGCAAAGGTTAACCTTTAGTTTCCCAAGATAGTCGACAAGTAGGGCACAGTTTATGGTTCAGGAAGCCTCGGGCCTTGCAAGAATTTGATATGGTTGCTCCCGGGGTAAGTGGAAGTTTCATTTCTAAACTTTTGGGTACCAAGATCACTTAGACACAGTTAGGCTTATCATTCTAATGTGCTATAGGGTTGAATTCAGCAAAGTTTGAGGGCTAGGATCTCGGCGCTTTGTGCTTTCGGTTTGTCGGCGTCATGGAGTTCCCCACGAGGTAGGTCGATTGATTAGCAAAGCAAATCAGTTGAAGCGCTGGCAAACATTTAACATTGCAAACCCCTACAAGGAACTTGCAAGCACTACTCAAGACTTTTTCATTACTCATAGTCGGCATAACCCATGAAACGTTTGAATGCAACAACTGCTTATGAAAGTCGTTTGAACTCCGGCAGATAACTCAATGACCATCACAGAGCATCTTCGTGGAGAGAAACAGCCCCCCCCTCTCATTTCGATTTGACGCAGATCGCCGCGACGCGTGCCGATCCTCTGCTTGATCAGGGTTTTGGGTGTCAGGGTGCGTGGTTGGTTCAAGGATTTCGCAAGGGCTTTGTGCAAGAGCACATTAGCAAGGTTTCAATGTTCCGATTTGTAGTCTGCGGGTTTCGATATGTGGTCGGTTAGACACGTTTTTTCGGTATTTGGGCATGACAGAGGTACTGTTGGTGCAGCAATTTGGATTCACGGTTTAGTTCCTTAGCTCTAGTTTAGCAGTTTAGCACATTCAATTTTTTTTTCCGATGTGTTCTCCAACGTTCCACAAACAGCCGTAAGTCTTGTGACTACCTCGGCGGGGCAGTAGTGGAGTACAGCATAGGAACTTCAATGCTGGGCAATGTTCTGCCCGAAACGGAATGTTCGTATAATCACGGCCGCTATAGTCCTACGCAACTACCCAAAGGCCCCAAAGTAGTTCCTTTTTGGGGCTCGTATATAGAATCCTACAAGGTAATCCCAAAGAGAAACTACTTTGGGGCCTTTGGGTAACTACACAACCTCGCCCGTTTGGAACAAAGCACGCAAACCAACAAGTTCCGGTTGTTCAGGAGGTGGACTCCCTTTTGGTCTTCCTCTCCTTGTAATTAAAGTAAACCCCATAAAGTTGGAAACCGGATTAAGGCCAAATAGTGCTGGGATTCCCTATACATTACTCTTAAAGATTGAGGTTATGGGGCTATGGGGTTTCCGACTTTTTGGCTTCTACTGTAAAGGTTGCTTAAACTTTGCACCAGATGTGCATGGAGTTCTTGATGTGTCTGACCCAGACTCGCGCTTGTTCCTGAGCGAACTGCGTGCGCCAATGCCCCGCGACGTGGATCTTAGAGAACTTTTGGTACATTCGTACAGCGGCTACAAGAGGGGGTCATCAGACCAGGGAAATTGCACGTTTCGGCCAGAACTTCGTCCAGTCCCAAGACGACACCGGCCTACGACTAAGCGTAAGAGAAGCTTAAAAAGAAAGCTCTTGACTTTTAAGGCAAAGACTAAGAAAGGGTGGGCCGAGCCGAAGGGCCCCCCTCCCAAGAAGGCGCCCGAGCCGATTTGCCGCCCCAAGGCCAAGGGGAAGGGGAAGGCACGGCTTCGGTCCGAGAAGACAAGGATTTGTCCGCTGGCACAAGCTCACGGCTCAGTCGAGGGCTCCCCGGCTTTGAATATCTACATCTGCGGTAGACATACTGGTAGGTGGTCTAGAGCCCCATATTAGGGGATCTACTTTCTAGATCCTCCCGGTTTTCTGGGGAAGGGTTTCGGGTTCAGGGTGTTTCGGGTTTAGATCACTTGAAGTTACCCAGAGGCCCCAAAGTAGTTCCTTTTTGGGATTACCTTATAGGTTTTTTTCTGCGAACCCCAAAAAGGAACTACTTTGGGGCCTTTGGGTAAATCATTCCACGAAGCTGTGCTGACTGTACGAGCGTTTCATTAAAAAAAAATCCGGAGCCCGGGTCCTCCAACAAAAACGTAAATGTTTCTAAGAAGTCAGATGAAATCCTTACTAGGTTCCTGAGTAGTACCTTTTTTTTTCTTTTGGGGTTCCCTAACTTATTAAAGTCGAAGAGGAGGAAAAAGCTTATGAAGCACACCGCAACACCACATGAAACCCTTGCAAAGACATTGCGTTCATCTAAAATACCGCCTTAAGAATTACCTATACTAGTTGAGGGGTTCCTCATGATATTCAGAGTATAGCGGGCCCCAAAACCCTGTTCGAAATACTAAGTCCCCTATATTGTAGTATATCTTACAGATCCCTTACAGTAACCCTTCTTATGAAGGCCCTAAACCCTAAATCCTACTCCTTAAATCAGGATCTGTTTGAGCACCGCCGGCTGGTCACCGATCGGCTGGCCACAGCAGATCGAGCCTCCTGGGCTGAACTTTGTCGGGGCTGTATTTGGGGTTTAGGGTTAGGGGCTTTACGATGGTTTATCAGGGTTTCGGGCATGGTGACTTTATTGAAGTCTTTTCTGGAGTTTGCAAAAGTTTGATAGGGTGCCACTAGTCTGTTGGTGGCTATTTGTTGGAGTGCTGTATAGCAAGAGTGTCTATGTTCCATGGTATAGGGTGCGCATGGTGTCAGGCAAGAGTATTGGTTCCATAAAGTCTTCATTTATTGTGTGGCATAAAAAAAGACCCAGACCCGTGAAGGATGTACACCTGGATTCTGTCGAAGACAAAGCTTTGGCAGCCCCAAATCCCCATCCTTACCTTAAGGGTGAGTTCTGTTCGATACTCGAGCCTTGGGTTAGTTTGATTTGCTTGGCTGGTTGTCGAGTACTGTCCCACCGCTTACTTAACGTCTGGTGTTGCCGCCCACAAGCTTGAAGGGGTCCCCACACGACACCATTCCTGGATCCGGGGGCACATGGAAAAGCCCTCCAAGATTGGAGTGGAAGTTCTGATCTGGTGTTCCATGCCATGCATTGGAGGGTGTGTGTGGCAGCTTGCGCACCGCAGGCCTACTGACAAGAAACAAAAGCTGTATCAAAACCCCAGCAGAAGACTGAAAGGAGCAGCGAATGGAAGGTAAACTCGGACGTGAGTACATTCCCGCCCTCCTGAAGAAACACTACGAGAACCACGTGCACATCGCCGACGACATTCGAGGTGTTCGGCAGCGCAACCCCGCAGAAGACTGGCAAGACGGTGGCGACAATCAAAGCCATAGATCGCGGTCGACGTCGCGTGGCCGCGAGCCGATCGCACTCGAAGCGTGTGCGAGGAGTGCAGCTCAAGCCCTGTACCTGAACTCCTTGCAGGGGTCTGGGTAGACTATCGGATGTAGGAGATGTCACGTTGCAAGTGTAGATCTTTTGGCACGGTCATGAGCCATAGGTCATAGGCACCTAATTGCGAACAGAGCAGGGACTTTTGAACCTTCAAGTGAGCAGACTGTCCTCGTACAAGGACGCTTCAGTTCTTTTTGTTAGATCGCACCTTCAACTGAGCAGCCTAACCTCTACCTGACCCCTTTTGCAAGCCACCTTTTCCCAACACCCAACCTTTAAAGTTTAGTAGTATTCACCGGAAGTTAAGCCTTGTTTTTCTGTGGCTGATAGGGTAAGTAAGTTTCAGGGTTCCTTATGATAGCTTCATTCTATAAGTCTTGAAGGTAGGTTACTTGGGTAAAAAATTCTAGTGGGCCCCTTTGCTACAGGGGATGCTTTGGCATGCTTCTTAGTAGTAGAGTATATAACCTTTAACTTTTTTGGGAAATTACAGTCCCTACATAATCCCAATATTGTTTTTCAAAAGGTTAAGCTTTAGTCGTCAAGGATACCGGACAAACATTACTGCCCAGAGGCCCCAAAGTAGTTCCTTTTTGAGACTACCTTATAGGATTCTATATACGAACCCCCAAAAGGAACTAGTTTGGGGTTTTTGGGTGTGGTAGGGTCTTTCAAAGTCGACTCGGTGAATTTGAACGAATCTGTTCTTTGGGGCTTAAGGTTGCTCCAAAACGGACATGGCTTCGTAGCTTTTTTTCACTTTCTGAGAAATGTGAGGTACGGTTAAGGCATAGGAGTTTAGGGTGTTGGATTGGAACTACCGGTAGAGTAACTTCGCGAGGGATCTGCGACGGGAAGCTTGCGAGTTTCAACCTATGGGCACCCAGAGACTCCAATGTCCCTTGATTAAGGAATATACCTTAAATCAGAGAAGGATCCCTTATATGTTGTAAGGAGTATTCCCTAGTGGGATAATAGAATCCCCTAAACCCTAAACCCTAAACCCTAAAGATCCCTTAAAGGAACCCTAGGTATTCCCTAATTAAGGGATATTGCTTGGAGGGTCGGGGGACTTAGTAACTGGTCATTTTATAGACTTATAAGTACCGTAACCCCAATTAGGGTCCCTTTTAGGGTACTTATAAGTCTACTTACTACCTACTTACTAAGTCCCCCGACCCTCCAAGTGGAGTCTCTGGGTATCGAGCCTCTGCTCAGGAGCTCCGGCGATTGGCCGAGTCGCTGGAGTTGCAACGCCTAGCGTGCCTCGGCTGCACTCTGTTCTTTGGGGTACTTAGAAAGATTTTTTAAATTTTTGGTCATTATAATCCTTAAGAAACACCTAAAATTAGAAATTTTTGCTAGGGTTCTAAGTTCAGTAGCTGCACTCTCCCTAAGGCTCCATGTACCCATATAGTAGGTACTTTGGCCTTAAAGGGGTCCCTATATGGCTACTTTAAGGCCTAAGTACCTACTTTATGGGTACATGGAGCCTTTGGGTCTGTTGGCAGCGTTCAATGACGGGGCTTTGGAGCCTGTAGCCCTTGTTCACATGAGGTACTCGAAGTAGGCAGGTTGCATGTAAGAGCCGGGGTAGATTCCAAATCCGGGAACAAACAGTTGGAACAATCTCCGATCGTCATGGTGGACCTGAGGGTTTGACAGATCGATTCAGGGTGCTTTACTTGTTGCGTCGTGTTACCTGCGGATGTGATCGGGGCTTTACTCTAAACCCGAAAGCCCTGATTTTCCAACAAAACCCTAGAATCCAAAAGCCTAAAATTCTAAAGCGCTCGAATCCTAGGCCCTAAAACTCTAAACCCTGTAGTCCTAATAAACCCTAAAGGCCCTAAATCCCAAAACCGATTGCCCTGAAACGAGCTCCCAAACCCAGGAGGCCCCCCAGCCCTGGCTTCTTTCCTTAGGTAGCATTAGGGAGACCCCTTCAAGGTTTAGGGTTTTGGGATTTCGGGGTTTTAGGGGTTAGGGTTTAGGGTTTGGGGTCTTGGGTTTAGGGCTTCGGGACCGTTCTTAACCCTACTTCCGGCTCTCTGAAAAGGGACCTTATTGAGAGGGTCTGTATCCTCAAGGGTTCCCCTAATCCTAACTCCGATTCTTGACGGTTTCCCCCCGGATTTCGGGTTTGGGGTTCAGGGGTTCAGGTCTTTAGGGCTTTATGGGTTCGGGGGTTTGGCTTCAGGGTAGAGTCTTAGAGGGTTCCTGCTTGAAGCGCCAGTGACGTGGACTTAGTAAGTGACTAACAAGTAGAGTTGCAAGTGCCCTGAAAGGGATCCTTATGCGGGTTATGATCTTTTCAGCAAACTGCTTTTTAAAGTCCCCCAACCCCCAAGTAGGAACCCCACAACCCTGACCTAGTAGTAGAGTAGGTAACCTTTAACCTTTGTTGGGTAGTATAGTCCCATATAATCCCTGTATAACCAAAAAGGTTAACCTTTAGTTCCCCAGGACACCCGACAAGTAGGCCGAAGCCCTAAACCCAAAAGGCTCGGGTTGCCCTGTTCTCATGAACCATACGCCTGAAACTCTTGAACCCCCCGTCAGCGCCGTGTAAATAACCTTCAATGTGGGGGTTTCCGAAAATTAGGGGTACCATATTTTGGGGTCCTTACAAGGATACTATCTAGGGTACTGTATTAGGGTCCCCTATTTTCGGAAACCCCCATATGGGTAGTTCTCGAAATTAGGGTCCCTTCTCAGAGCTAAAATTTTACGGCACTTTTGTCGCCGCCAGACAATTGCGGGAAGTTAAAACTTTAGGTTATGAGACCCCTGCACCTACCCAGACCCCCGGGAGGATCTAGAAAGTAGATCCCCTAATTTGGGGCCCTGTACTACTAAGGGTACTTTATAGGAACCCCCATTAAGGGATCTACTTTTTGGATCGTCCCGGGGGTCTGGGTGTAAGACCTTGCAAGACTTCCTAAGACCTGTGCACAACCTTATCAGCCCTCAACTAGGATGCCCAGTAGTACCCTTATTCTCCTTTTGTAGTCCTAGGTTCCGTATAAAGTTACCCAATCCCAACAAGGGAGCCCTTTTTGTTCCTAGCTTACTTGGCATCCTAGTAAACGCTCCTTAAACCGTCAGAAGGCCGTGTCAAGACCTCATGAAACCCTTCGATCAAGAACCGCCTGAAGCCCTTCCGCGACGCTGAATCCCTAACCGTGAGAAACCCTAAACCTGAATGCCTAACGGCGGTTGGAAAATATGGCTCTGTCATAGTAAGCTTAAAACCGAAAGCCCAATGAAACCCTAAGCCCCTGAACGCAACCCTAAGCCCCCCAAAGGACCTCTCACAAGGAACCTTGGAAGCTTATGAAACCCTAACCTGTGCAGGCCACCACCCCCGAGCATGCCCACTGCGCAGTTGCAGGCAGGTAGGGGCTTCTCCTCAGACCCAGAGACTCCAAAACCCCTTAATTGGGGAATATTCCTCAAACCATATTGGGGTTCCTATTATAGTTTAAGGTATATTCCTTAATGAAAGGGTTTTCTCCTGGGAGGGGAGTAAGGATTTAGGGTCCCAGGGTTTGGGGCTCAAGGTGTTTAGGGTTCAGGGTTTAGGGGTCAAAGGTTTAGGGTTTAAGGGTTTGGAGTTTCGGGTTTAAGGGTTTAGGGGCTTAGGGTCTCAGGGTTTATCGCTCAAGGGTTTGAATGGGGTTCAGGGTTTAGGGCTTAAGGTTTTGTGTAGACAGTGTGCGTGTGGCGGGTGAGCTTTGTTTTTAGGAGTGTTGACGCGGCCTTGCATCAGCATGTAGTCCCTCGTGGTGTTATCTCTAGTTACTACATGTTTATGGTTTTTGGTTTATCTGGGTTTTAGCATGTAGTTAGGGTTTCGGGTATGGCTACTAGCTACTGGGACCGTTTTGCCGAAAATAGGTTACATATACCCTCAATCTATGCAGCCAACATCCAAACTCCGAAACAACATGTCAAACATTCAGAAATCCCTAAAACCGGAACCTTGTCCAAAAACTCTGTAGATATCTGCTCAAGATTGGTTACGTCAATTCAATAAGAACCGCGCAGGGCCGGAAGCCACCCCAAGCTCCCAGGCACTTTGGGACGAAGTTTCACGGCTGACTGAGCGATCCCAGCGCCTGGAGGTGCTCGGGGATCACATCCCCACTTCTTACAATAACGTGTAATTAGGGTTGAGAATGTCGGGTTTCGGGTTCAGGGCTTCATTACTTGGTCTCCCCCAGTTCCTTTTCAATAGCAACAGCAAGGGTACCCTCATCATTCAGGGGCTACTGGGCAGCCGAGTAATCGAGATTTGCCACATTTATACGGCTGTTTTTACAGTGGTTTATGGGGTCTCTGCGGGTTATACTTTCCTGAGAGTCCAGAGCATAGATGAACTCCCAAAGCCTTGTTCTAGTTGTCAAAGCTCCTTTGTCAAAATCCAGCGCGTTTGGATTGCGGGCTTGAGGGTTTAGGGCCGACCCTAAGCCTAAAAAGAATGCACGGGTATATTCAAGTATATCCCAATGTAGCTATATGAGGGCCCAGTAGTACTAGTAGAAGTACGACAACAACCTTTGGCCTAGATCCTAAAGGCTCCATGTACCCATATAGTAGATACTTAAGGCCTTAAAGTACCTATATAGGGACCCCTTTAAGGCTTAAGTATCTACTATAAAGGTACATGGAGCCGTTGGGGATGGCGATCTCGTTGAATACGCGGAACCTGCTGCTCACGGCGCGATTCTCGAGGAGCGCAGTACTTAGGGGTACTTAGAAATAATTTCTATAATTTTTGGTTATCATAATCCCTAAGAAACAGCTAGAATTATAATTTTTGCTAGGGTTCCAAGTTAAGTATAGAGTACTTCGGCAGCTTGAACTTCGCACCCAGAGACTTTAATTAAGGAATATTCCTTACCTCATACTAGGGATCCCGCTATGATTTAAGGTATATTCCTTAATTAAGGGATAGTGGAGTCTCTGGGTCTTCATGGCACTTCCATCATAGATTTCAAGCTTTTCCGGGGTGTCATCATCCAACTTCCCGGCACTTC